AGGATGAGTGAATGTAAACATAAGCTAATTTTTAGAATATTCGTATATACAATATACATCATCATATTTCTTTAAAATAACGTAATATGTATGAGAATGTTCGTGTGATTCCCGGGACTTCACTCCGATAGCGCCATGTTTGTTTACATGATTTTCTTACGGAGTTCATTCGGAAACACAAAAAAATTGACGGAAAAAGTGCTAGTGTGATAGGGCCTTAAGAGGGCACAGAGAAAGTACATAGGTTGGACGGACTCGCAAAAATCAGATATAAGGAGGGACTGAAGAAATAAAATATTGGATGAAATGTCTGGGAGAATATGGGGAAATAAAGAAGGATTTTCGTGGAGTGAAGGAGTCCATGCAAAAAAAAGAGGATGGGATATAATGGTACAGAAGATGGTAGAAGATATGCACGCCAGATAGAAAGAATGACTGGAAAAATACTGAACAAGGGAAACCATGTTATTTCATAACAAAAGACTGCCAAGTAAGACGATGGCAGCAAGAGACAGGATGGGGTGGCAAAAGCACTTGCTGAGTAATGGCAAAGTAATCGAACTAAACGAAATACCAATAGATGCTACAAAGATAATGAAGGGTCACAGCACTTAAATTTCAATATTGAAAGAGTAGGGCATTACGCAAAAATGCAGGAATTGCGATGGGAAGAAGCTTCAACTCCACATTGAAATTCTGGGAGAGAATCGCGGATATGAAACTGAGGGAGGTGACAGAAGAGGCAGTGAAATTATTTGCATTTATGTCAGAGTGAGGCACTGGGGATGCAGGCAACTGATGGAAAGGTAATGGGAAAACAGAAGCCATTGCATGCAACATTTGTGGATTTAGAGAAGTTGTGTAACACAATTCTTCGAAGTAAAGTGAGATATCTCATGGAGAGGATGGTACCAGAGAAGAGAACTAGGGTGATGCAAGTAATCCACAGAGAAGAAAGAATTGTGTCACGTAGTTTTGTGGGTATTGAGAAGTTTTGTGATTAAATTCACTGCGATCAGCGCTGAGCCCAAAGTGCTTACAGGGGAGATTCCAGAAACAGAACGGTGCTTAATGTATGCTGACGACGTAGTGATATGTGCTGAAACAAAGGTGGAAGTGAAACATGATGAAAGATTAAACAACTCCGAATTATGGAAATTAGTAGAAAGTGAACCAAATACATGGACTATAAATCTGGTCAAGGTGGATACAGGTCACGAATGGAGAAGGAATGAAGAGGATAAGCACTTGGAGTAGTAATGGATAGTGAGAGTGACTCAGTGATGAAGGTGAAAAGTGGAGTGTAAAAAAAATATGATACTTCACCTAAAGGGAGAAGTTTTAAGTGGTCAGCAAACGTGAAAGTTCGTACAGGATGAAAACTGAATGCAAACGATTCATGAAGGTAAGATGAATATAGCAACATATCATAGGTACATAATGGTATAGTATAGGCATGATATGCGTAGGTGGGTGTGGAGGATGGTGAGTGAGTATAATATTATTATTATAAGTATAGTAGGTATAGTATATGATGAGTAGTATGGATAGTATGAGGTATATAGGGTTTATATATAATTTGATTGCTATGTGTGTGGTGTTTTGGTGGTGATATATACTAGGTGGTGATGAGGTGACAAAGTGATAGGTAGCATATGGCCATATAAAGGTGTGTGAACTATCGGGTAGGAACCTATACATATGTTGTAGGTGCAAAATGTATATATAGGTAGTAGGTATATATAGGGGGGTTTATTATATGTAGTAGTATAGTAGTAATATATAGTCATGATGGAGTAGTAGTAGTAGTAGTATAGTATCTATGGGAGGGATTATTATGATGTATACTACGAGACATATATATGAGTAGTATCTTATATATATTGTGTGTGTGTGTGTATGTGTGTTTGTCAAAGATATGGGTGCGAAGGGCGCAGAGTGGGTTTGCGCGCCGCCTTCGCGGACTATATATATTAGGTTAGTAGGTGAGGTATATATATAATATGGGTAGCCCTTACTATATACTGGTATAGTAGTAGTGATATATATATTTATATAATATTTTATATATATATTGATATAGGTATGTGAGTGAGGCAAACAAGCACAGGCAGCCAGCACACACACACACGACGACACAGCACAGCAGCGAGCACACACACACACACAAGACACACACACACACGACAACAGCACAGCACGACACACACACAGAGCCGACACAAACGCACACGCACGAGCACACGCGAGCAGCACACACGCACACACACACACACACACACGCACATTTGGCGACAGCACACGCACACACAGCACGACGCGAACACAGGGACGAGAGCAGGCACACGACACGAGGTGGTTCACACACTACACTCACACACACACACACCAACACACACACACACATGATATACTATATATTATATATATATATATTATATTATATATTATATATATATATACATATATATGTGTGTGTGTGTGTGGTGTGTGTGCAATTCATATATATATATAATATATTGTATATTAATATATAATATATTATATATAATATATATTAATATATATATATTTATATGGCATATGCATCGCATATGTATAGTGTAAATATATATTTATATATATTAGTAGTAGTGCGTGAGCGTCCTATGTATGAGTATTATTTTATATATATATTTATATTATTATAGTATATACATACTATATTACATATTATATAGAGTGAATTGAGCAGCAGTATAACACACGCACAACACGCACACACGGTCAGCACTCACACGCTAGACGAGCACACAACGACACACAGAGTGTGGGTCTGCACAACTTGAGGGGGGTTGTCGACACATACGACAACACAGCAACACACAGCAGCGAGCACACACACGCACACACACAGGCAGCACCACAGAGGAGCACACACACGCACACACACACGCGGACACCACAGCACACACACGCACGACACACAGCGCACAGCACAGATAGAGGTGGGCAGCACACAACACACAGACGCGACAACACACACAGCAGAGGCGGACAGCGCATCACATCATAGTAGTTAGGTATAAATAGTAGTAGAGGGGTATAGGTAGATATATATGAGTAGTGAGTATAGGTATTAGGTAGTAGTATATATATATGGTAGTGTATAGGGGGTAATGTATAGGTGTGATTATTTGTATAGGCTCACACCGATACATATGAGAGGGAACGAGTATAGGGGTGACACACCACACACATACACATTTTAACGACACACACAGCAGCACACACACACACCAGACAGTGTATGAGTATAGAATGATAGTGAGTAGGTGGTATGAGTAGGGTAGTAGTAGGTATATATAGGTAGTGTATGGGTGATGTAGTGTTATGATGGACGCTCTTCACATCACATACATATAAGGTACGATCTATATATATTATGTATAATTGTAGTATTAGGATAGTAAGTAGGTATATAATAATATATATAATATATATTATTATATATTATATAGTATATGATATATAATATATATATATAATATATGGATAGTAGTAGTATATATATAGATAGTAGTATATTAATTATATATTATATATCGTGGTGTGTGCGCGGCGTGTGTGTGTGTTGTTGTGTGTGTGTGTGTTGTGTGTGTGTGTGTGTGTGTGTGTGTGTGTGTGTGTGTGTGTTGGTGTGGTGTGGTGTGGTGTGTGTGTGTATTAATATGAGTATAGTATAGTATAGAATATAGAACTGTATATATGTAATATATTATATATATATTTATATAATTCGTGATTAGTGAGGATAGCTAGGTAGTATAGGTATACTGATCTGTATGTGGGCGTGTGTGTGTATAAGTATATATAGGTATATAGTAGTATATATAGTATGAGTATATATGGATATATATATGAGTGGGTGTTAAATAATTATTCTTCCCCCTGGTTTTTAATAAAAAATGTTTGGGTTTGGGTTTTTGGGTGTGTATATATAATTATATAATTATTATATTATGTGTATATGAGGGTATATATATATAAGGGTATATAGTAGTATATGTATAATATATTTTTATATATATTAATATATATATATTATATATATTTATATATAGTATTATTATGTTGTGTGTGTGTGTGGTGGTGTGGTGTGGTGTGGTGTGTTGTGTGTGTGTGTGTGTGTGTGTGTGTGTTGGTGTGTGGTGTGTACATTATATCCATGTATGTATGTTATGTATATTTCATATTATATACATATATTATCCATGTATGTTTATGTATGTTTATTACCACACAAACACACTCACAGCACGACACAGCACGACAGCACACACAGCGAGCAGTACACACGCAGGGGCGAGCGCACAAGACACCACAGCGACACATATAGTATGTAGTTATTATTATATAGGGGTTATTATATTATTAATTATATATATATAGGGGTATATATGAGGTATGTATGTGAGGTGTATATATATGATATAGGTGAGGGTGGGGGTATTATATATATATATTATATATATATGTATATTAAATAAATAGATAAAATATGGTAATATAGGTCCTAGTGCAGGGGTGCTAGCTGGAATTATGATATTAGGAAACGGTGTTAGGAAAAACGTGTTTATTGTGTGATATCAGATGTGAACATGATAAGAATGACACAGATGATAATAAGACAAAACTAAACGTTTGCAAGTAAACATTTTTTACGTTACCTGTAGACGAAAAGGTAAACATATATGAACTGACATCATAACCAATTAGTGCCACGCTTAATCACAAAGCATATAATAATTGTCATTACCAACAGTTATCTGCTGGTTGTCAGTAAAGGCAGTTGTTGTTGTGTCACTAAGCCGGAATTCACCCAAAAGTGCAACAGGGAAATTCTTTAAGAATTCTGACCATTGGAGATAGAGTGAAATTCCCGAGAGATTGCTGTGCCAGAAGAGGACGCAGGCGCTTCACGAGAGCGAAGATGTGGCAGAGGATTTCTCCCGTGAGGGTCAGGTCAAGTTCATGGCTGCGCTTCCACCTGCATCCTGTTCGCTGGCTGCTCTCGGAGTAGGAGACTCTGTATACCTGGAGAAGAGATGGAGTGGGACTTTTGTGACATGTATCACTTGCTGTGTAGGCGAACAGCGCAAAAGCATGCGATAGCACACATGATACTGGGTGTGTGTGGGTGTGTGTTTTATGGTATATAAATTTGTCTGGTAATATTATATAATATGTAATTATATATTATTATATTATTATATATTTATATATATATATATATATTAGTATGGTAGGTAGGTAGTGGAATAGTGATGTAGGTGATAGTGTATATTGATTAGGGTAGTAGTAATATATATATATTTATATATATTATAGGTATAGGTAGTATATGTTGTGGGTGGTGTGTGGTGTGGTGTTGTGTGTGCATATGATAGTACATATTATTGTATATCATATCATTTATTAATTTTATCTTATTCATTCATTCTATCTATCATATATAATTAAATATATATATTTATTATGGGGTGATAGTATGAGGTGAGGGTATAGGTATGAGTATGAGCGTGAGTAGTAGGTAGTAGGTAATATATATGAGTGGGTATAGATATTATGTGTGTTGTTCGTGTGTGTGGTGGTGTGTGTGGGTGTGGGTGGTGGTGCGGGGTGTACGTATGGTAGTAACTATAGTATATGATATAGTAGTAGTTATATATATTATATATATTATTATTATTACTATATACATATATATACTATATATGTTTTGTATATATACATATATATTATAGTATATATTAGGATAGGGGTTTTGGGGTAGTAGTAGGGGGTATGTATGTATGTATGTATGTATGTAGTATGTAGTGTACATGCATAGTTTAGTGAATAATATTGCACACATATAGTATAGGTAGTATATAGTAATATGAGCGTATATAGGTAGTATAGGGTAGTGGTTATAGGTAAGCATATATAAGGTAGGGTATAGGGGAGGTTGGAAATGTATATATAAGGGGTAGTATTATATATGAGTAGGGAGTGGTATACTATAGGGTGATAGAGTATTTTCTATATATAATATATATAATTGTACATACATACACACACACATATTATAGATTATTATATATATGTATAGGTGAGGTACTGAGGTAGGTATAGAGTAATAATGAGTAGGAGTATAGTAGGGGTTATATATATTAATAGGTAGTAGTGTGTGTGTGTGTGTGTGTGTTGTGTGGTGTGTGTGGTGTGTGGTGTGTGTGTGTGGTGTCTGTATGTTGTTGTGGTGTGGTGTGTGGTTGTGTATACATATATATATATTTATTATATATGTATAGTAGGGTATTTATGATAGTATAGTAGTATATAGGTATGAGTAGGGTATGGATGTATGTGGTATGTAAATATATACATAGTTTATGAATATATTACATATATATATATATTATTTTATATATATATATATTAGGTAGTATAGTAGGTGAGGTAGGAGTATAGGGGTTCTGTATATATATTAGGGCAGTTGGTATAGGGGGTGAGGGTCCTATATTAAATATACTTATATATATTTATATATATTATATATTATTATATTTATTTATATATGTAGGTATATAGGGGTGATATAGTAGTAGTAGTAATGTATATTTATTGGGAAATGATATATGATAGTAAGTACAGGTTGTAGTAGTAGGAGAGGTTATCATAGGTAGGGTAGGTAGTGTATATAATAGTAGGTAGATTATATATAATATATATATATGTATGGGTGTATGGTGATGAGAGTAGGTGTATGAGGTGATAGGGGTACAGTAGTTTATAAATATGAGTTCAGCACACGAGCATGTAAGTAAGGGTATATAGTAGGGTATGAGAGGGGAGGGTAGTATAGTGAGGTAGTAGGTATATATGATAGGAGGTGTATTTATGATTCTAGTATGAAAATGGTGATATTATAATACATTGTAGTATTATACGCATATAAGATAATGGTATAGGTATATAGTATAATGAATAGTTGTATAGCAGTATAGTATATATGATATAGTGATATATAGTAGGTAGTATGGTAGTATATAGCATAGTACTATTAGTATAAGGTAGTGTATATGTATATATATAGGGTATACATAGCATATATAGTATAGGGTAGCTGATATGATATAGATATATGTATGGTATGTATGTTATGTATACTGTTATATATCATATACATATTTATAAATTATTTCACACCACACACAACACCACACACACTACACACACACACACCACACACTACACACACACATCTACATCACTACCAGGGCACACCAGCAGGAGCAGCACACACATTATGATTATAGGTATAATTATATTATTATTATATATTATTAATTACTATATATATATATATATTGAGGGTATGAAATGGATATGGGAGTAGAGGTGATAGTGAGTGGGCGTATAGTAGGTATAGGGGCATTGTAGGCATATAGTACCTAGGTAGGGAATTAGTGAGTA